GTGGTGGTGGTGGGGAGTCAAGGCTTTCTTCCACGTGTCATTCCAGGGAGATTTTATCAGCTAGTGTCCAAGGTTACAGCTGCAGGGATCCATAATAAACATAATTCCTTAGGTCAAGCAGGCTGTTTTCACTGCTTTAAGTCTGAACTACGTCTCTGTGTTGCGAAAAATACTAATTTTCTAGATTCATTTACTTCCTCGCCTCTCCCAAATGAAACTTCACCCAGGTGTAGCCTCACTCCTCAAGGGCATGCTGCTGAACTGTGATCCTCGTCAGAACCACACCCAGTCTGTGACTTATATCCCCCATCATCTGAGTTGGTGTGTTTGTAGTACGGGAGATTCCATCCAGGTCCCTGACAGCTTTTCACAGGCCCGGTGTGCTGTCAGGATCGTTCTCATTTTCCAATAAACCAGGACTCCTCCACAGCCGATCAGCAGGAATCTGATTATCATAAGTCTGAATATAAACACATCTTCGATGTCTCCAATGGAAAGCAGGGCCAGGCAGACAAGGTTCCACCCCCAGGACCCAGAAACTCTGCCTGCAGCCACGGTTCCACTGGGACAGCTGCGCTCCCCTCGCTCCAGTCTCAGAGTGGAAAAAATAGWGTTGATTACATTCAGAGACCAGTTGACCAGATCCATAATTCTTTTATCGTTGAATGATATGTAGAAGAAAGGCTTGATCCAGCAGCAAAGCAGGGAAAACGGAGGTTCAGGGGAGAGAGCAAAAAGTGTCCAACTCCTCTGAAGGCCAAGCAGAAAAAAAAAAAACTGCTTTAATACATGTTATCTGATTTATTATTTACAAATAAAGAATCAATGGCTTTCAGAGGCAACACCAAACCACATAAAACTGAGTCAGTATTATATTTTGAAAATGTCATGAAGCTCAGAGAAGCTCTTGGGGWGTTGGTCAACATTTAAAGCAGTGATTTTTAGATGTTTCCCTGATTTGATACACCTGGTTTGAATGAATGAGTGATTAACAATCTTCTGAAGACCTGCTGAACAGCAGGGAAACAAGTCAAACATGCTGGATGGGGTACTTGAGGACCAGGATTGGGAACCACTGCCAGAAGCGTTCAGAGATGGGCCTTTCAGAGCAAACTATCAGCTGGTTTTTCAAACTATCTGTCTGGARGTCAACAATGTGTACAACGCAGTGGTCAYTCATCAAAGTACCTGAATATTACAAAAGGTGTCCCACAAAGTTCAATTCTGGGTCCTTTACTGTTTTCGATCTGTGTTAATAAGGTGGGTCAACATGTTACAGAGGTCAGTATGCATTAATACGCTGATGACACCATATTCTATTGTCACTCAGTCAGTGTCAATGGTTCTTAAGCATTTGCAATCTGCYTTTGTCTCCATTCAATCAGACTTCCTTCAACTGAAACTCATTCTTAATGCAGACAAACAAAGACCATGCTGTTTGCAAACAAGAAGAAGGTGTCCCAAACCTTACCACCTATCAGGTCTCAATGGTTCAGCCGTAGAGTCTGTAGAGACTTATAAACATCTTGTTGTTGTCATTAATCAAAAGCTCTCATTCAAATATCACGTTTACCACATTTTGAAAAACACTAAAGTTAAAACTAGGATTCTTCTTCAGAAATATTTCATGCTTCTCCCTAGATGGTTGTAAACTGCTTGAGTCTGCAACCTTCCTACCACTGTTGGACTGTGGTGGTGATGTATGAATGCCCCAGCCGACTCTGCATATGATGTATGATGCCTATCATGGAGCACTACAATTTATAACAAAATGTAAACCACACCACTGCACCCTGTACTCACTGTAAACTGCCCATCATCTACACGCAGACTTCTACTTTGGTTTATCTTTATATTCAGATRCATCCTTACCCACAAAGACAATCAGAGCCTACGTTCAAGAGTTTATTTCCTTCAGTGTTCCATGAGTTCTCACAGAACGTCTCCTGTTCTGCTCCATCTTCCTGGAATTCACTGCAGCAAAACCTGAAAGTGTCCAGTCTGATCCCACTGGGTCATTGTAAACACATTGGGCTCATCCAGTTTGGTCCCACTGGGTCATTGTAAACACATTGGGCTCATCCAGTCTGATCCCACTGGGTCATTGTAAACACATTGGGCTCATCCAGTCTGATCCCACTGGGTCATTGTAAACACATTGGGCTCATGCTATTAGGTTGTGTGTTTAACTCTGCTTTCCCCAAAATGTAACATGACCTTCATGAAATTTGTGTAACTGATATTGTGTCACAGGTCTTTCTTGTAAATGAGACCACATGTCTCAAGGAGATTACCTGCCTAAATAAATAAATAAATAAATA